ACCGAATGTTCCACAAATGTCTGTGCTACGAAAGACTAAAAACGATTTTATCAGCCGCAAATGGGACCTCAAACCTGGCGATGGAAAAGATGTTGTTACTACTATAGAAGTGATGCGTTACACTGACCCATACAACAAATTCATACACGAGGTCAGGCGTGACAAGTTTTACGTTTCCTTCAGTGCTTTTAATCAGATGATAGCGTATAAACAGTATTGCCGATTGAACAAGGATGATTCGATAATTGGGATAGATGGTTCTGGTAGTTTAATAAAGAAATTCCGACGACTTGATGGAACCAAAACCGGACACATTTTCCTGTACTCTGTCACAATTAACCAAAATGGACGAACCATTGCAGTGCATGAAGCCTTAACTGAGAGCCAAGAGACCAATATTCTCGCTTGGTGGCTCGCACACTGGTTGAGGATGGGTGCACCTATTCCTGGGCAAATATCCTCCGATAGATCTCGTGCTTTGATGAATGGGATTTCACAAGCTTTCAATAATATGACAGTAAAAGTGTACGTTGAAGTCTTATTTGCACGAGCTCTAAACGGTGGTAACCGTAGCTATTACCCACCTGTTTACACTTATCTGCGAAATGATGTCGCTCACCTCATAATTGCTGTTGCTAAATGGAACGTATTTAAAAAAATCCCCTTCAGCACTGTCAGACAGTTCTACCTGTATTCCTTAGGTCTCCTGATTGAATCCCAGAATCTGGAGCAATTTCGGGAATTCTTCTTATTAATTCTCACAATTGGATTGCATAAATCAGATGATGACATTATCAGAGCAATTGAAGGTGGTACTGTTGCTGACTGCAGGAATAAATTGGAGGGATACATTGCCAGTCGTAACTTCCCTTTTAAGGGTCAAGGTATAGAGGAATGTGCGGCTGCTAGTGAGATAAAAGAAGAAGTCGAGGAACCAAGTTTGAATCAAGAGAGTCCTATTAAGAATTGGATCGATAATCTTCGTATAATGGCAGAACATCCGAGAGAAAAATGTGAGATAGAGTCTGGCACATTAAATGTTTATTATGCGAATGATTTCATGAATCGTCTGGTTGAACTTGTTTATGAGTTTCCTCTATGGTCAGCAGCTGTGATACCTCGAAAAGTGAATCGATCATCAACAGCGTTCACAGAGGGTTTTTTTAATGACTTGAAGCGTCGAGTTTTCAAAAATCAGGGAGCTGTGACACGTGCTGATCTCTTTCTCAAAAGGATGTTCACAAATAACTGTGGCGGGGCTGAGCTTTTTTCGACAGACATGAAAAGCACTAGAGGGAAACCGATAAACCAACCTGGAGCAAAGCATGGAGACATTTCTGCCTCTAACAGCAGCAGGAATCGTACAACATTGCCATCAAGATTATCAAAAAATGGATTCAGTGATGGCGACCACTCTGAGGAGGAGAGTAGCGATAAAGAGAATGTACAGCCAGTCCAAAAACCAATTAAGGAAAAAAACTTATCTGACGGAAACGAAAACAATTCTTCTGGACTAGTCCCAAGCCATTCTTCCTCGTTAGATTCATCGGATGATGGTGATAGTGATTCTGTCCCATCAAAAAGAACCGATCGAGACTTTATTTTTTCAGAAAAAGAATTTGTTTCTCAAAGTTCTAAGGAGAAAATGAAAAGAAAGTATTGCGAAGAACAAAGGAAAATTCCTGAACATTCTAGAGATAAAATAAAGAGCCCTGAAAGAGCAGTGAAAAGGGCTAGAAAGATTGCTCGCGTTGAGGAAACACATGAAACAAGAGGTACTGTTATTCATGATGAGCGGAAAAAACCCCTGAAGAAAAATGGAGGAAAATATTTCCAGGCGAGACCAGATATTCTGCACCGCAATGGATTGGCTTGTAATATTCATAAATCCGGGTTAATAATTAATGGCAATGTAAAGAAAGGCAAGGTATCTATCTCAGGTAAAACGTATTTCTCATCTAACACTTGTGGATTTGATTCGATTGTGCAGATCGTGGGTGCTGCAATGATGAATAATGAGGGATTAAAAGACTACGCTATCGAATCAACAAATAAAACTCTTCAGTTCATCTTGGAATTTTTGAAAAACGGATCTCAAGCCAAAATTTATGTACAAAGGACGAAACTTCTACAGTTACTATTCCCGGAAAGAGTAAAACTGCATTATCCGGAATCTAACATTTTGGCGTCCAATGAAATTGATATGTTCGATCACGTCGTAAATATCTGGCAAGGCTGTTTTGGATCAGAACCAGCTCTCACGTGTTTCCACAGCTGTTCTCAATGCGGGTCACACGAGATTCACAAATCCACTCTCACTGTTGATAGCGACCTGGTTGATAATAATCCAAAAAACAGCTATCGTAATCTTCAAGAGGCTCTGCAGTTTCATTTCGTTTCTCAACTGGCTACTTGTACAAGAGTAAATAACAGAAATAAATACTGCAATGGAAACGTTTTGGTGAACCCTAAAGCCCTCGGTAATATGATATTCATAGAGTTGGATGTACCTAGCACGAGGGATGGTAGTGTCTTGGATTGCCAGTTAGCAGTGATGCCAAAATGTTTGGAATTAATGGATGATAAATTTCAACTTGCTGGTATTATCTCATCGAGTGCAGGTCATCACACAAGTTATTGCTGGCGACCCAACGATACATGGGAGTTTTGTGACGATCGAGCATCAGGTGTAGCCTCTGCTAATCAGAAAACCAAGGTGAAGGCAAGTGCAGTAATCTATGTTAGAATTTTTCCCAGAGGGGTGGGTGACAATTCAGAGCTAAATGCATCAGCAACTCCTCCCAGGACTCCTATCATTTCTCCTCCTTCTCCGAAAACTATTCTTCGCCCATTGAATAAAATCAACTACAGCCACACTCGCTTATCTCCAACGACCAAAAATCAAAATGCTGATGATTATCGAAAGAAACAGAGAGACTCAGACACCTTCCCGAGAGACAACTGGCGTAATAAAGCCGATCCAGATATTTACTGGGGTAACGAGACTAACGACGAGTCGGTGCATCTCAAAAGTTTCCGGGAAGTCACTGTGAACACTCTAGGCAGCAATGACACTTTTCCTTCATTCACCAATCCATTTCTGTCTGCTGGAGAAGTAATGCCTGATGTTCAAATTAATGGGCACTACTTCCACTTGATCAATACTACTATTTTGGACTCGATAATCCATATTTTACTATACACAGCAATAGATGATAAAAATTATTTGGAATCTATTGAAAGTTCCTCGAAGAAATTGCTAAGTTTCATTGTCTCCCTGAAAGATCGAGAGTTTAATGAAACTATGTATGCAGATAAGGCGGCTTTATTGAGTGATTTCTTCGCTATAAAGACACGAAGAGAACCCGACAGTAACATTATCGTGCTTGATCTAGATGATTCAGTCAGTAATTTGTGGCAGTTGTCTTTACCAAATGCTCCTAGTTTGTATAAAACATTTGAATGTCAACACTGTGGTCCTTACGCCGTACCTATCTCTATAATAAATATTGACAGCCAGCTACTCTATCGACAGAACTTCACTGTCTTGTAGCAGGCACTCGAATTCCACCCAACGTTACAGAAAGTCCCCTGTGTAATGGAAGGTTGCAAGAGAGTGTGTTTGATCAATTGTCACGCTAATTTTCATGTTTTTATCAATTTGGAAATAAAAATGAGAGGACGATCCCAGAAAATAATTCACTGCAAGCTGAGCGAGATACCAACATCTTTAACTCTTGATATGAAATACAGGTAATCATTTCTCTTCAGATTTTTCGTCCCACGGAAATACGGGAATTGTTGATAGAAAATCCTAGGAAATATTCTATAGAAAAAGTAAATAGAATTTTATTTTTTTATATGTAGAATTTTTTCCACTTAAATTTTTTAAGTGCCTTAGTTTTTTTTTCTCTTCAAAAAAATTTAATGAAAAAACTTAGAAAATTTGACCGGAAAAAATTTTATAGGCAATGAAATTCTATAAAGTTTTTCTATATAATTTCTTATCGAACACGTTAACAGAAACCGCAAAAAAACAAGAGAAAATTCAAGAGAAGTCTTATCGAAATTCCTATAGAATTCTTTAAGGTTTTCTATTAAAAATTTTCGTACGTGACATTAATATTTCGGAGGTTCAAGTATACTAATTTTCATTTCCTACCTATACAGGCTGGCTGGAATTATTGATTAGGGATTATTATTAGGGATTGTTGCTTATTTTTACCGACTTAATGATTCGACTGCCTGGTGGGAGTTATACTCAAGTCATCTGGGAAAAATTAAATCTCCTGATCGTTGTGATATAATCGAGCCGCATGGAGCTATCTATGTTGTAGAGAAAAAGTCTCATTAAAGTCCAGAGTTCGAAGGAGAGCGTTAAGTGATTGTCTGAATATGGAGGAAAAGAGACTGATGATTCCAAAAGGACAAGATCATCCAGCACTCATCTATCGTATTTTCTAACACATGAACCAAATTAATGGGGCATAAGTTTGTTATCGAGTGTCTGGTTGGGGAATAATTTGTTTCTAGTCTGCAAATATTGATGATGTTTTTTTAACAAACTAAATTCAATAGACTAATGTTGAGTTTTGTTGATAATTGTTATGCAATTTTATGAAGTTCCCAATTATAATAGTACGAATAATAATAATGTAGATAAGCCAAAAATGGCCAAAAAAATGTATTTCATTTGTTTTCTATAGGAAATGTCATTTATCTATTGTGATTTGACAAAATAAAAAGAAAATTTGCACTTTTTCGATAAAAAACCCGTTCTTAAAAGTTTTATGGTTCATTTCACAATTTCTTCCTCGGAAAATGATAACACAAAATTCTAAAATTTTCTGTTAAATAATTGGGCATAACTTTAAGGGAAAAGATGCAGAGTCGTTGATTTTTTTTGGAAGTATTTAAATGGCTATCGCATTCACGATATATCTTGAAATCCTCATGTGCTATTTCCAGATTACGTGAGTTTGAAATAATGAACGCTTAAATTGATCCTCGATACTGATTTTATTCAATGCATTTTATTCCAATTTTTCAAAAGTAAGTCTAGTACTTGCATTGGACTGCTCATGCTTAATTGGAAGCTTCTCGATGTGATTGAGGACGATATGGAGAAGTTTTCTCTGGGATTCGCTGGGTCTCGGCATTTCGCTCAAACCTACAAAAAAAGATGTAACAATAAATATTTCTCATCATGTCATGGTATGAGAAATTCATTGACTCGTACAATGTTGACATTCATCATTTTGATGGGTTATGCATCACCAGTTGCTCTTTCTTTCACTTCTGGTGTTGCTGAAAGCCATTCGGAGACTGGAGGAGTAAATTTGTAGGATGATTTAAGGAAAGGTCCCCTTTCTATTTTTACCTGTGCAGAAATGGAATAATTAATCATATTGATGAATGAGTAATGGGGAGTACGGGATACTAATTATTCCACGAGAGTATTGAAATAGAAATAAAAACATGTGACGAAAACACTTCCGATGAATGGAAAGGTATTCATGGAAATTCTAGACACTATTCACTACACTGAACTCCTAAATATTCAATGGAAATACTTACTTTTGTTATCGATTAAACAAATAATTTTATTCCCATTGCACTGAAAAACTTCCACACAACTTTACTCCAAAATGACTCAGCGGCCATATTGGATCGATATTGAGACCGTGTGTTTACAGGGGTGTGAACCGGAAATTGATATTTTACATAATAATGGGAGTGCATTGACAACTTTTGATGAACTCGCAAAAATCTTCAAACAATTTGCTACTGATTGGTGAAAAATTTTATTGGAAATAATGAAAGAGCGGGGCAAACGGCTTTTTTTTCAGGGTTAATTTAAAAAAAAATTATTTAAAAGAAAGTACTAAGTAGCAAATGTTTTTTATTAGCAAACTTCTTCACAACTACTTCAATTAGAAAAAAAATGAAAATTTTGAATATCTATACATGGGGGGCTAATTAAACGGATCTGATTGTAAGGGCGGTGTGGATGGATGGCGTTAGGATGGTGGCATCGATGCTGAAAAAGGGGCAAGGAAACCAGGTAGAGAATTACCGTGGGGTTACGCTGATCCCAGCGTCGCATAAGATTTATATGGAACTGTTAATGAAGAGATTAGAGGAGGAGTCGGATGCAATAGAGGTGATACCGCATAATCAGGCGGGCTTCAGGAGGGGGATGGGAACTATGGACGATATTTTCGTGCTGAAGTTCTCCATCAACAGGGCGGTTCAGGAGAAAGGGAGGAGGTCGTCCGCGCTTTTCGTGGACTTCAAAGCGGCCTTCGATAGCGTAAACAGAGAGGTTTCATGGGAAACAATGAGTGGAAGATGGATTGAGGAGAGAACGATAGAAAGGATCAGGTAAGCATTTGAGGAGACTATAGGAAGGGTGGCCGCGGTGGGGGGGGGGGGGCGGCTTTCTGGACTGGGAGAGGTTTGAGACAGGGATGCCCACTGAGCCCGCTTTTGTTTAACGGATCTAGAGGATTGCTCCAGCGGAAAAGGGAAGGGGGGAGTTATTCTGGGGAGGAGGAGGCTGTATCATCTAGCGTATGCGGATGATGCAGTACTCTTGGCGGACACGGAAGGAGGTATGAGATTGATGATGAGGGAGTTCGAGAAGTATGTGAGAGGGAAGGATCTGACGGTAAATGTAGGGGAAACGAAAATGATGGAGTTTAGAAGAAGAGAGAAAAAAGGAATGGAGAATGAATGGGAAAGAAGTGACTGAAGTGACTGAATTTTGCTATTTGGGATATTGGTTGTCGAAGAATGGAAGTGATGATCTGCATGTGAAAGTGAGAACGGAAGTGGCGGGAAAAATGATGGAGAAGGTGTGGGCAATTGGTAAAGGGAGGTTTAGGAATGATTGGAGGAGAAGGATGTGGTTGCTTGATGTTTTAGTGTCAGCGACAATGTGCTACTACGGGGTGGAAGATTGGGGTTGGGATGAATGTATGAGAATGGATGCGATAAAGGAGAAATATATGAAATGGGTATTTGGAGTGAAAAAGCAGGGTCCAGGGTACATGGTGAGAGAGGAAGTAGGCAGAGATAGTTTGGCAGTGAGAATGAGGAAGAGAGCGTGGAATTTTGAGGGAAAAATTGCTGAATGGGGAGGGAAACAGTTTGGCTGGCGAATGTTTGAGAGAGCAATTTGTGCAAGTGGGGGAGAGTGAAAAAGTCGGTAACGAGTGAATGGAGGATGAGTGAGAGGGTGGACTGGAAAGAAATTGAAAGGGAGATGTTGGAGAGGGAAGGCGTGGGAGGTGGGAAGGTGCCTGGCGCCTGTTGAGGCGCCCGGCGGGCCTAAGGGAGGAAAAAAGGGCGGGACGAGGCGGGATTCCGGGGGAGGAATGATTAAGAAAAAATCGCCAGGGAGCCGGAAGCGGAGGCCCATGATCAGGCGAGGAAAGGTAAGAGGAGGAACCTCTTTTCAAAGAGGGCATTGGTGGCTATAGAAAAATTTTCTGTGAAAATTCTATGCACATATCGTTTTACGATCGAATTCTGAATCAACTTGTACCTATGAATTTAAATTCTATTATTTCAATTCCCCTCTCCTCTTTTCGAGATGGCGCTTGCAGCTATAAATGAAAATATTTGCATAAGGTTATATACACCAATTCAAGATCGGATTCTAAGACTATCTGAACCCATAAATTTCACCCCCGTTTTTGGATACCGAACACCTTCTATACAAAATGGCAATCGTAGCTATAAAAAAAAATGATCCCAATAAGTGTATATAGATCTATGCGAACAATATATAGGTAAAGTGTCGAGAGAATAACTTGTGAGAGGGTCAAGCATCGAAAGAGTAAGTTGGAAAAGGGTAAAGCGTCGACTAAGTCGATTGGTAAAGGGTGTGCGTCGAGAAATTCACTAAAGGTGAGCCTAGCCTTTCAAGTGTCGCTAGGGCAGAATCTACGTTTTTAAGCGTTACTAAGGGGAAAGTCTGACTTTCCAAGGGTCACTAGGGGAGAGTCATGCTGTACGAGGGTCATTAGGGGAGAGTCAAGCTTCACAAAAGTCACAAGGGTAGAATTTAGCTTTTCATGAGTCACTAAGAAAAAGTATAGCTTTTGAAGGGTCATTAAGGAAAGATCTAGCTTCACCAGTGTTACTAAGGGAGAAGTCCCACGGAACAAATATGTATCCTGAAGATATATCTCGGATACAACATTTTTGGCGGAAAATGTATATTCGGATGTGACACGTCAATAGAAATTCCCCCAATGTCAGTCTCAAAATTTTCCAATGGAAAATTATTGAGAATTCCAAGCCTATGTTATTAAATTCATGTCACGTCATTACTGGCCAATTAGGAGGCTCAGCCCTTATTTTCGTCAACGGAGTTTCGCCGGAATATCGATTATCCGACGGGTCTACGTCCAACAAGTGTCCAGCGTGCTGAGGTAAGTTACTCTCGCTCCGGCTGACGAACCTCTCATATTCATTGTAAACCACTGCGGCAACTAACGGTTTTGTCAAGTTAATAGTTGTCATGATTATTGTATTTTAAGTATTTTGTATAGGCTCGTGGCATATTTTGTTTACAATATGAGTATTGTTAAATTAACGGTGTGAATAATTGTCTACTGCCTCACACCACGCCAGGAGAGACGGTTTCGAGAACATATTGTCAGCAGCCCTCTGTCTCTGTCTTACCCTCTCTCTTTGGCTTTCTATTGGCTCTCCAAAGTCGTGTCCACCCCAACTCACGTTGTCTCTTGTTCTAGCCTTCAAATTTAGTAATTAATTATTCAAGTTGTCAATCTTGACAAAATTGACTGGCGCCCGGTATTTCATATAACAAACTAGTCATCTTGCGCTCTGGCAGCTCCTGACCCAAGCCACGTCGGGTGGGATCCTTTGATAAATCCACGAATTGATAAATAAATACAACAAAAGATCGGCCACCACGCTCACTCAAATCTCCCGGAGATCTCCTCGAAATCCCAAAATTCCTCCAAAGCGTCTAATGGCGTCCCTCAACGTAGCTTAGCGTCCCTCATTAACGAAACCGTTACAGGTCCGCTCCACATAACCACCAAACGGGAAGTGATTTTCGCGACCACGTGAGAATCCACAACAGGTAGCTAACGCAAGGAAATGATGTCATTGGTGGGGATAACATCATCATCCACCAATCCTAATCATTTGGGCATGCGCGACACGCATCTTAATTTTCCGCGATGCTTAATCATAATTCACTATCCTCAATAATGAGAATAAATCCTCAGCGCTTCCCGATTATTTCTAAATTAATTCCTGCGTTCTCTGCTACACTGGGAGAGACAGTTGTCTCACATCAAAACTGGTAATAAATTATCCGCTGACCTCCAATCAGTCACGTGCATGAATCTTTGCCTAACTTTTGTGATAATTGATGAGTGATTTGTGGCTCCATCGTCCATCCAAACTTTTTTTATAGCCGCAAGTGCCACCTTGAGCAGGGGGGGGGGGGGGGGAAGTGTAGAGGAGATTTAATAATGGGAATGAAATTCGTACGAATTTTTATTTATAGATTTATTCAGTACTCCAGAGTGACTTAAACTTCACTGCCACTTTACACTCAAGTCCTCAAAAGTCAAATCATAAGTCCATTTTTTGGGAATCTAGTTGAGAAACATCTATTAATTGTCCAAATTAGAAGTTAATCTGTGCTGATCCCACATGATCTCCCATTTATCCCCACAAAACCCCCATGGAAATCAGTGGACTGGCCATTAAATTTTTAACACGTGGCGCAGCCTACCTCAGCTTTAGTTTTCAGCTTCTTGAAAACCTACCTGTTTTCATATGTTTCTATCTTAAAGGTGATTCACTGTATAACTTCAGTATTGATCCATATAAGGAGTGAGTAATGTGGGAGGTGAGCAACTTTAGGAGTGGCCCACTTCAGGAGCCAGCAACTTCCGAAGAAATCCACTTTGGGTGTAAGTAACTTCGGGAGTAAGTTACTTCTTGATTGACCCACTTTGGGGGCCATCCATACCAGAAGTGAGCAACTGCAGGAGTGGCCGGCTGCAGAAGGGATTGTTATGTCTAAAATAGCTAAAATTGTTGTTGAGGGTTTTTGAATTTTGTTTTCAAGGATGCTGAAGGCAGCTAAGATATTTTTGACACTATTTTGTTCTGAAAATCTTGGTACATTTATTTAGTTAATAGCAAATGTTTACAAAACAAGAAAAGTTACAGAGAGCAAATGTTTACTAAACAAGAGAAGTTACAGAGAGGAAGTATACATGTTTCAATAAATTTTCGTTTTAAAGGTTGGCCTTGGAATCTTTCTTTAAATCTAGGACACTTCTTTCTTTTGCTTAATTAAAGCGTACTCACGCAATTGTATTCTATTGATGCTAAAGTTATTTAGTTCCGTTCCCTTTTTGTGGTGAGTCCCTCGGTCTTCCTGCTTCCTTTCGTTAACAGTGTTAGATAGGTTTTACACTGATATAACTACTTGACTAGTCAGGTACGTTCACCCACTTGTATTTGATTTATGTGTTTGTGTTTAAGAAATGTTTATGTTATATATTTTCTGCTCAACTAAGTCCCTCACAATGAGAATGTCCACACAGCACGAATTGTAAAACCTCTTATCTGTATGAGGTACCGCGAACCCGAATTTAGGAAGTTTTTCCCTGATTTACTAGATCCGATAGTCATCTACTAAGTTTTCGATGAGTTACCGCGCACAAGCTTAATAATTTAAAGGTTGTATGGGAAGGATTTAGTTTTCAGATCAGGACTTGGTATCACTCCACCAAGGTTTTAACAACACCGCGTATGTTTCTAGACTGCATTTACCAGT